AGGCGGTTTGCTTGTTTCTGGGCTCAACATCCTTCGCTTGGAGAGCAGATTGTGACGATGTCTCAAGCGGGGCGCTGGTTGCAACACCCCTATGGGGAGCCGCCAGGGGTGGTTGCACGGGCACGTTCGCGGCCATATTGTGGGGATGTCTCAGGCGGTTCGCTTGTTTCTGGGCTCAACAGGGAGGGAAATGACAGGAACGAGGATGAGGAGGAGGAACAGGAGGAGGAGGAGGAGGCGGGGGATCGTGAGGAAGGGCATGGGGGTGCGGAGGGGGAGGGGGAGCAGGAGGATGAGGAGGAGGAGCAGGAGCAGGAGAAGGGAGGGGGCGGAGGAACAGGAGGAGGAGGAGGAGGAGGAGGGCGCTTTGCTCGAAGGTCCTTGACGCGAGCAGAACGTTTGTTCCGAAGTCCAGGACATATATATATATATATATGTATATATATATATATATATATGTATTCATAGGGGGTGACTGCGAGGGGGGGGGGCGGTGGTTGTGTGCGGGGATCGTTGGAAATGCTCACCGTGGCACTATCCTCCAACATGACATGCACTTATGGCCTTGTGTGGCTAAGCGCTCGTCTTACATATCCCACTGCCAACTATCCTACAACATATGCACATGTGGGAAGCTCCAAAGCTACCACGGGCTGAAAAGGGGAAGGCCTGGCAGCTGAGGAGGGGGGATGAAGAGGAAGAGGCTCGCATTCAACCATACTCAAAGCTCACTCTGACTCATACACAATCACTCGCATTAGGGGTCACTCGTCTTCGTCGGCCCTGTCGCCCACGTGGACGCGCTATTGTAGTCGACCGCTCATGAACAGACGCTCACCACGGCATGACATAAAACATGAGATGCACTTATGGGGAGCTCCACGCAGTGAGTAATTGAAGGATTTAGGCGTTCTCGCTTTCCCGAGTTCCCAGCGCTCCCTCACGGCCTCGCTCGGAGGCCCTTCAGATCGCTCCAAGACGGGCCACGAGGCCCCGAAGAGGGCCCCAAGACGGCCCAGGAGGCTCCCCAAACAACCCAACTGTGCCCCAAAAGCTCCCCAAGAGAGGGCCCAGAGGGGGACCGCCAACTGATATTTCGAGGTCTCTGGCCCTAGAGGCCGCCTGTAGGCCCCCGGAGGCCACCAAGAGGCTCCCACGAAGCCCCGTGAGGCGCCCAAGAGGCCCCCAGGAAACCCCAAGAGACCCCAAGGGGCTCACAGGGAACGCCCAAGAGGCCCCCAACACACCACAAGAAATCATATCCCCTGAAAACCTTCTGGGGACATGGTTCATCATGGGCCCGAGAGTTCCCGGAGGCCCCCAAGGGGCCCCCAGGGAATGCCCAAGAGACCCCCGAACACACCCCAACAAACCATGTCCCCGGAAAGCCTTTCGAGGACATGGTTCATCATAGTCCCGCGAGTCTCCGGAGGCTTCGAAGTACCATCATGCTACAGGAGAGCTGTCTCGGAAGTTGATTGGGAACATGACTGATCGCCTTCTCGCGGCCCTCCGCAGATCGTTTCGCGCAAAGTTGCCCCAAGTGCCCTCTTGAACCGACGACGACGACGAAACGACGAAGACGACGACGACAACGACGACGACGACGACGACGACGACGACGACGACGACAACGACGACGGCGCGCCCCAATAGGCGACGACGACATTACGACGACGACGACGACGGCTTGCCCCAACAGGCTCTTCAAGACGCCCCCAAACCCATGCTCCCAGAATGCTTTCTGGGAACCAGATTCATACGGCCTCCGCCCCCCCCCTACACAATCATTTTCCTCGAAGGCCTTTCGGAATGCAGATTGGCATGCGTGTACTGTGGTCCACTACTTCAGTGGAGCAGTGAATTCGTCAAGGCCTGGGGCCTGCTAGAACCTGAGCGCGTGCGAAGCGCGCGCGATGGTTTCTAGTGTGTATATATGGGTGTTTAACTTTAGCGATACAAATGTATGTATGTGTATATATATATATGTGTGTAAGTATATATATATATATATATATATATATATGCATATATGTATATACGTATAAACGTATGTACGCATATGTTCCCTTCTTTATACAGGTTACAGACATACGCGTCCTCTCCTGACCCCACCCTCGAGGATGAAGAGAAGGAGGACGACGGAGAGGAGGGAGAGGGAGAAAAGGAGGAAGAGGGGGATACTATAGGAGGATGAGAAGGAAGGACAGAGCAGGGAGCGAAATAGAGGGAGGACAGGGGACGGAGGACGGAAGACCGCCTGGGGAGGGAGGGCGGAGGACGGAAGAGGGAGGACAGAGGACAGACGACGGAGATTGAGCGGGAAATAATCCTCCTCCCTACATCCTGTTGCAGCTGCTCCCCCTCAGCCTCCTCCTCCTGCTCCTCTTCCTTCTCATCATCAACATCCTCCACATCCTACTCCACCTCCTCATCCTCATCGTCATCACCATAAGCGTCATCGTCATCATCATCATCATCATCATCATCATCATCATCATCATCATCATCATCATCATCATCATCATCATCATCATCATCATCATCATCATCATTAGCAGCAGCAGCAGCAGCCTCATCATCACCATCATCCTCCCTTCCCCTCGCATCCACTCCTTCTCTCATCCTCATGCTGCAGCTGTAGCTGATCCTCCTTCTCCTCTTTCCTCTCCGTCTTTCTCCTTCTCCTCCTCCTCATCCTCCCTCCTCCTCTTCATCTTCATCATCCCTCCACCTCCTACCCCTCCTCCTTCTCCTTCTCCTCCTCCTCCTCCTCCTCCTCCTCCTCCTCCTCCTCCTGGTGAAAAGGCTAACCAGGAAGTCCAGCCGGCAATTGGGACATCCGGCTTCGAACGGAGACATTCTCTTTGGTCGAAATTGTTTGTTTGTAATGTCGAACGAAGAGATTTTGCGGGGCGCGGCCGGGATGTTTCGGAGGCGCGAGAGAATTTTCTCGTGGCTGTGGTTGACTAGGTGACCAAGATCCGTCTCGGTGTTGGTTGCTCTTCGGGTGCTTTCCTGGAAATCGTATTTCTGGTGTGCTTTGGCTTGCTCTTATGCTCCTGGCTTAACGTTTGAGGGCAGGGCCTCATCTTATGCCTTCGACTTGTGGTGGTTGCAGGTGGTCTGGCTGTCCTCGGGGGTCAAGGAGTGTACTTAACACCTGCTTTGATCGCGTTGGGGCTCTCTGGAGTCGGCGTTTCATCTGGTTGTCTTCGGTGCCCCTTGGCTTGCCCTGGAATGTAGATCTAGGTGCGCGGCTGCTCGGCTGTCCCGCGTGGAAGCTCGCAAAAGCAGGGCGGGCGAGTCCTGTGAGTTCGCTTCCTACGTTCTCGTTGCTTTCACGTATTTCTCTGTGTTGTATCTGGTTGGTTGTGTTTTGGGTTGACTTCATTTTCCCTCTTGAGTTTTTTCTTTCTCATATGCTCTCGACTTCTGGCGGTTGCAGGTGCCCTGGGTTTCCTTGGCGGTCGTGTGTGTGTGCTGCATTTCTCTTTTATTCTGTCGCCGCTTGGTCTGAGTGGTGCTACCTTTGCGGTGATGCGTACAGTCTTTTTGGGGCCTAGATGGTGTGCCCCAACTTGTCTGGCTTTGCTTTCACCTGCTTCGCCAGTAGCCTTTCGCGGCTCTGGTTGCGGTTGTGGTCTGCTGTTTTAGCGTTGGCGGCTGCATTGCACGCTCGGCCATGCTCGCCCCTTGTCCACCACCCATGTGCGCCGCAGCGTTTCGCGGCTGCTGCTCGCGGTCGCCCGTGTTCGGCTCTGTTGTTGTTTGTTCAAGGCCAAGCCAGCCTCAGCCGCGTGATCGTGATCATCTTTGACACGCCGACCGCATGCACCCGTTGCACGGTCGCTCAATCCGTTACTTCCTCGCTGCAATGTCGGTGGCGTTGCTTTGTCGCGCAGTTTCCTTGCGTGTGTGCACCGCCACCAGGTTGGCTGGTCTGGCAGCCCTATAGTTGTTCTTGTTTGTTGCTGTTTCTTTGAGGGTTCCATTTGCACCAGACTGCCGCTTGCGCTTCAAACTGCCCGCGTCGAGCTTATGCTCCTCGTTTTTTTTGGCCGCTTCACCTTGGCATTGCAGCGCCCCTCGTTTTTCACCACCAATCTGGATGGCCGTGAGTGGGCTCTTTCATCATGGCGCGTTCGATTAAGTTTGTTCGCAGTTGGCACCTCCACCTTCCCACCGCGCCTGAGGTCCCTCTGCGCCGCCCACTTGAAAGTGCGTGTTCCACTCCTGCTTTCATCGTGTTCGAGCTCGTTGGAGGCTTCAATTCAGTTGCTAGGAACTTCTTGCAATTCGTGCATGCAGCCGTTGCGGTCGCAGTGCTCTCGGGGAGGAAAAGTTGCTCGCGCCTGCTGTGCAATAGTGGGCTGTGTTGGTGCAGCTGCTTTCACGGCGCAAGTGTGTGAATAATTGTGCGGCGTGTTATCGTTTGACATCGTTGTTGTCATCATCTCGTTTCGGTTTCGAAGTATCACTATTGTGTCCCCGTGACCTTCGCGAAGCAGCCTTGTGCTTGCGAGTCTTCTGCCGGTATCTGCGGGCCCGCCCTAAAATTGAGAACTTGGGCTGGCAGAGATTCCCTTGCCAAGGGTCGAGTTTTCGAAATTCGGGCAGGCGTTTGGTGTTGAAGTGCCCCACTGGAGCTCACGGGGCAAACTCCGGATGAATGTCTCCCTCGACCTATCCATAGCTCCGCTGTGTACCGGTAGGGGTTTTCAAGGGGGAGAGGGGTCGGACAAAAGGTTTTGGTTTCACTGGCGGGCGCTGGATCCGCACTTGGCAAAAATATCCGTTCGCCTGCCGACCCCGTCCTCCTCTCTCTTTCTGTTTTTCTTCGCCATCCCTTCTCTTATCCGTCTTCCCTCCCCTCTTTGTCCTCCTCTTCCTCTTCCGCCTTCCCTTCATCCCTCCCTCCCTCCTCTCCCTCCTCTCCCTCCCTCTCCCTCCCTCTCCCTCCCTCCCTCCCTCTCCTGCTTCTTTGCCCTCGCCCCCAGGGGAAGCGCTGGCGGGTGCGGCGGGGGCTCCCTTCGAACCAAACAGCGCCCATCACGATGGCGCGGCTCTCGGCCGTCGGCGGCGCGGTCGCCTTTCTGGCGGGCTCGTCGTCACCGCCGCCGCCGCCGCTGCCGTTGTCCTCGTCGTCGTCGTCGGAGAAGGAGAAGGAGAAGGAGAAGGAGAAGGAAAAGGAGAAAGAGAAGGAGGAGGAAGACAAGTAGGAAGGAGCTTCCTTGAGACGTCTCTCGGGACCTGCCCCCGCGGGCTGGCGGAGCGCTGCTCAGGCGACGGGGGAGCCGAAGAAGACGGGGCCGCCGAAAGCGATGTCCAGGCAGAGCCGCCAGCGGCGACGATGTGGGAACTCCACGCACCGCCCCCTCTCTGCAATCACACCTGCTTGCAATTGTCGCTGCTGCTTGTGGCCTCCGCGGCCGGCTGGGCTGCGCCAGCGCTGCGGAGACTATCGGCGTCGCGCGGCAACCGCTCCCGCTTGGCAGGCCAGCCCACGGTGGCCGAGGCAGCTTGGGGCGCCTGTGCGCTCGAGAGCGAGCGCCCAGCACCAATGGCTGCCCAGTCGAATTTCGGACCCGTCGAGACCGCAGCACGCGAGCCTGAAGACGAGGCGAAAACGCAGCGTCTTCCTGCACGGCCCTGCTCGCCCCTCCTGCGGGATCATATCTCCCACACCAGCCCAAGCCTTTGCCACCTTGACGGACATCGCCGCCTCGGCCAGAGCGAACACAGGCTGGGGGAGGAGAATGAAGAAGAGGAGGAGGAGGAGGAAGAGGAGGAGGAGAAGGAAGAGGAGAAGGAGGAGGGAGGAAGAGGAGGAGGAGGAGGAAGAGGAGGAGGAGGAAGAGGAGGAGGAGGAGGAGGAGGAGAAGAAGAGGAGGAGGAAGGAGGAGAGGAGGAGAGGATGAAGTAAGAAGGAAGACGAATAAGAAGAGGAGAGGAGGACGAGGAGGAGGAGGGAGAAAGCAGGAGGAAGGAGAGGGAGGAGGGAGGGGGGAAGGAGGAGCAAGGGGGGGAAGGTGGGAGAGGAGAGGAGGAACAGAGGAGGTAAGGAGAGGGGATAGAAGAGGAGGAAAAAAGGAGGAAGAGAGGAACGGAAGAGGAGGAGGAGGAGAGAAAGGAGAAGGGAGAGGAGGGGGGAGGAGGAGAGAAGAGAAGGAGAGAAGGAGAAAAAGGAAGGAGACAGAGGAGGGAAAGAGAAGTAAGGAGGGAGAGGAGGGGAGGAAGAGAGAAAAAAGGGAGAGATAGGAAAGAGAGGGGAGAAGGAAGAAAGAGGAGACAGAAGAAAGAGGAGGGAGGAAGAGGAGGTATTGAGGAGCTTAGGAGGTTGAGGGAGGAAGAGGCAGGAGGGAGGAGGAGGAAAGAGGAGGAAGGAGGAAGAGGAGGAGGAGGAGGAGGAGTAGGAGGGGAGGAGGAGGAGGAGGAGGAGGAGGAGGAGGAGGAGGAGGAGGAGGAGGAGGAGGAGGAGAGGAGGGGGAGGAAGAAAAAGAGGAGGAGGAGGACCCCGCAGTTGACCAATGGTCTGCTAAACAGGAAATGAGGCCTGCCCTTCAAATATGGGAGGCAGGAGAGGACAGCTATACCTCCCCCTTCTTGAGCTTTGCAAGGTATGCCGTGCCTGTGGGGGTGGCCTTCTTACATTCCTTAAGAAGGTTCTGGGCGCTTCGTGTGGCGTGGGAGCCGCACGTCAGACATATGTAAGTTCGCCTTGCCGAGAACACCATGTCATGTGATGGGTCCACAAAACGTGCGCCAGTGAAAGCATTCTGAATCTGCCTGGCCCCTTCGTGCCCCGTTCGAGGTCTCGACGCGACGCAGGGGGTGGCTAAGAACTCCTGAGACGGGATATCATTGTGAGAGTTCACAGAAATGACCGAACAACAACTACTACAACACAAACGACAATCAGAACCCGTGCCGAGGGTGATCATCGTATGCTCATTCTCGCGAAGTTGCTTTGCTAGCTTTGGGCGAGGGGTGAAGGCGTTGGGAGGAGAAGCAGTGGAAACTGGCTTCTTAGCTTGGGCTCGCGTCCTACCTCGAGGGCCCTGGGGAGCACATTCATGGAATTCCGAACACCTCGAGAGGAAGACATCACACGCCCGAATTCTAAGCACGCGTCAGAGCCTCAGAAATCTGGACAGCTTCGACCTCCCCCGCCTGCAACTGAATCCGCTTGGCCACCTGGCTGGCCATATTATCTGCCAGAGCATTTCCAACCCAGGCAAAAAGTAGCTCTCTCCTATCCGCAGCCTCCTCTGGAGACATGCGCGACTCGATCTTTATGATGACGGTGGGCTTTTCGCGCAGCAGCCGCTGGATCCTGCGCCACTCGTTCCTATATCCTTCTGGGCAGAAATCCACCAGAACCTGCGCCGACAATCGTCTCGGCGTCGTCTGGAAAGAGGCCGTGCGTGTGCACGAGGATGTCATGCTCTTCTGGCGGGACTGAAACGTGTGTCCAGGAATAAGGAGTGAGGCCACGAAGCCACACCGAAGGCTGCGCCTCGACCTGGGTGCGTGCTCTGTGCACGTAAGCCTCGCTGCTGGTGACCGAGGACGTACCCGCATTCGCAGAACACTCCCAGATTCGGTGAAAAGTAGACTCTGGTCGTCCACTGTCGCAGCGCTCGCAACTAACAGAAAAGTCAGACGGGCGGATGACGCTCTGCATTATTTCTTTGGCCCACTGGCCTCCACAACATACGTTCACTAAGGCTCCTGCCCACTTCTGTTGGTCACGGTCCCCGGCTCGTCGTAACTGTCGTCTAACATCCGTTAAGTCGACACCGTCGCTCATACCATACTTCTCGTAAGGTTGTGCGGCTCGTTTTCATAGGACACGTCTTACGGATTCAGCTAGGTCATGCCGTGTACCATCTAGGTCTAGGGCTCCCGCTTCAAGACTATCTGGAGTGGCCTGGTACACATTGCCCAAGTCAGAAACCCAATGCCAGGGCCCCACAGGATCCCATTTGATATCCAATAGGGTATTCACGATAGCTCTGGTGGGCCCCGAGACTCTCCTCCATCTGTGCTTCGGGTTCTCTCTAGCCTTAGTGGCGTGAGCTGGCCAATCACGCGCGGCGAAAGCCCGAGCTTCGGGCCCATCAGCAAGAATGGCCATCCAGCTGTCGAGCATCTTAAAAACCTGCGAGACGGCTGGGTCTTGATCTCCCAGCCCCAACTGCAGAAGTGTGTCTGAACATCGCCCACGGACAGAGCTCGTAAATGTGCCACCTATCGCTCCGCGCCAAGGTTGCACTGCCGAGGGACTCATACCATGTACAGATGCGTCGTACTGCACTGTGGCGTAACAACATCGATGCATTACCCGCCGTGCTGCGCGCCTACCCGTACGTCCTGCACCTATGAGCTTGCGTGCTTTAGAAACGTGTTTCCATGTTGCTGCTCGGCGTGCTGCTGCTTTAGGTCGCGCACATGTCACTGCCTCTGTCCGTGCCTAAGTCCACTGCGTTCTGCGCCACCGTGATCTTACTGTTGTGCTGTGCCGATGTGCGTGCAATATCCCGTGCCAAATGGATGTCCCTTGCGATGATCTTGCTCTTGCTTGCAATACCAAGATGCGCTTTGTTGCAAAGCCCACCCAAGAGGATGCCCGCCTTTGTGAGGGCCTGGGAGAGGTACTTGACGGAGCCGTACGCGTACTGTGTGATATCATCTACCCAAGAAGACGTGCGGACAGTTGGGTTATACTTGTTGTACACAGTCCCGGGTATGCTATGCACATAGAACCTTTCAAACTCGACCCCTCGACGTGCACTTGCAATAATACTCTTGGAAGCCTGCGCAGGTAAAGAGAAGCAACGTTCTCCCCTGAAAACTCTCACAATGAGGTGCGCGAGGCCCTCCATGAGCAAAGTGAGGGAGGGGGGGAAGTCCAAAGCCAGCCCTTGCTCAAAAAGGCGTTCGTATTCCAGGGAATTGTGCCAGAGCAGGCTTGCTGACACGGTATGTTCGGGGCCCATGCGCGCTGCTTCGTCCGTGAACGTTCTGAGCAAACCGACTCGAAGGCAAGAAGAACCTCGAACAGCTCGGTCCCACTTGCCCGCCATGCGCCCCACCCACTCATTGGGGTAAATCTGCCTCGCTGCACTCCAAAGTCTGATCAAATCTGGAAGTAAAACAATGGAACGGTCTGTATCGACTCCTTTTCTCAACTGGGCCACTATTGCTGTCTGAATTTGCCGCGGCGAACCTCCATGATGCTCACAAGTGTTCAAAAAACGAGTAAGATGAGCAATACCTGCAGGAGGGAGATACTTGAGTGTGCCGCCCAACTGTTCCACGCCAGCTGCTTTCTATGAATTGATCGGATTGACGGCGATGGAGACCTGCTCGGGCGTCAACTCTGGCCAAGGCTGCTCAGCTGCTTTACGGTGCGCCCGTCGGAGAAGAAGGAATAGCCGTTGAACCGAACGTATTTTGGATGCCCATTTCTGCTGCCAGTGAGTACTCTTCCGAACTACAATATCTTTCAGCAAGGTAGAATTGTCTTGCAGGTCGCGGTACTCTGCCTCGATCCTGGTCTTGGGCTTCACGCATCGATGCAGCTTGCCACAACCTTGCTCGAAAGACTCGCGGATCCATGTCTGAAAAATATAGTGACTGTTCTTGGCGGCCCTGCGCTCTAAAGTAATCGTGATTCTTGATGCTGACTTGCCCATCATGCACAGAGCGTCGAATGGAAGATTGTGAATGTTGAAAAGTGTGCTGGCCCAGTCCTGCCTGTCCCTGCCCGCGATCTGGCCGTGTCCTGAGAGAGGCATGTCTGCCGGTGCCTGCGATAAGCTGTGCACCAGGAAGTCTTTCCTGGATGCCGTCCTGACTTTGTTTTTCGAAGCTTGATGAGACACAACGCGGGGAGGAGATGAGGGGCAACCACCTGAGTCGGTCACGTAGCGCTCTTCGTGGTGCTTGTTGCTGCTGCCTGAGACTCGGATGAGTTCCTGAATCCAGCCAGAGATCTGCAACCACCACTTGATTTAACAATCAGAATGTGCTCGAGAAAGGGTCGGCTGTGAAATCGGCACCAACTTGAAACATCTCGCCTCGCCCCGTCCTCTGCATTGCCATGCACGCTCGGGTGGAACCTCCAGAACTCGACATAAGAAACTCTCGAAGACGTTGGTGAAATGGCCGTATCCTCGTCCCAGAAACTTGGCCGCTTCTGGCGCATATTGAAATGATAAACTGTCTTGAATCCATTCAGGCGGCATTTGCCAAGATTGGTGATGGAGCGTGTTGCCGTCGATGGTATTCCAGAGTTCATCCAAATCCTCATTGCTCCACTGAAGATACTTCGCTGTGTGGCAATCATCATCGACATTCTTGGCCTCAACTGGTTTGGCATCATTGGCATGAGACTGCCACATCATCTGCAAAGCGTACTAATCAAAATCGTAAAAATCTCAGTGCAAAAATTTGCGGACCTCTTCGGGGTACTTCGTGTAGGTGGCCGGACGGCCCCGCGAGAGCCCACAGATGCCCCAAACACCCACCAGACGCCCGAAGACGACCCAAAGAAGACCCCCGAGAGGCATTCGAAACGCAAAAGGAATGACCGCCTATGGTTTTCGACTGATTTTTGGAATGCTCAGTTCTTCGGTTCTCTGGGCGTCCAAGACCGCCGAGGAGGCCAGAGAATCGCCCCACATTTAACCAAGAGGACTTCCAGGCAGTCCAAGAGGAGCCTCAAGACGGCCGCACAGGGCCCCGAGATGGGCCGAAGAGAGCCCCTATGACGGCCCAAGATGGCCCCAAGACGCCTCCCGAGTCGTTCCACATCGTGACCCGATCGTTCAGGGAAACCGCAGTTGGAAGCAGGGTGGCCCAGGGAAGCCCCCAGAGCCCCCCAGACGGAACCCAGGAGGCTCCCAGAAGGCCCCAACAAGCCGTTGAAACCCTTAGTGAGGTTTACAGGAGGCTCTACTAGGATGAGCCTCCGAACAAAGAGCTGAGGATGGAAGCGAATTCGCAGGGTAGGGCGAGAATGGGGAAGAGGAAGAAGAAATATGAGGGAAGGACAACGAAAAACATGATTACAACGACGAGGATGCCAGAACAGGCAACCACGAGTCGTCGCTAAATGTTCCGTTTTACCTTGTTGCCCTTTTGCTTGCATGCGAAATTTCAAGGACCTAAAACGCATGGCGCGAAGTGCCAATGCAGTCTTGCATATGTACAAAAGTATCGGAGGTTGGGGGGTGTAAACGGAAGTGACCCCAACCGGAAAATCGGTTTCGGTTTCGGTTCGTGTCGTGCGTGCGGGCGAGGCGAAGTTGCGTGAGTTCCTGCACTTGTAGAGGCCACATGGAGCCCAAAAGGTCGCCCGCCCCCACCCCTAGGCGCGGCCCCCGATGGTTTTCCCGCGGGTTGTCCCGATGGTTGTCCCGACGGTTGTCCCGATCCCGATGAGTCCCGATGGGTGTCCCGAGGGCTGTCCCGATGATAATCCCGATGGTTGTCCCGATGGATAGTGGATGTCCAGATAGTTGTCCCGATGGTTGTCTGGATGGTTGCCCCGGTGGTTGTCCCGATGATTGCCCCGATGGTTGTCCCGATGGTTGCCCCGATGGTTGTCCCGATGGTTGTCCCGATGGTTGTCCCGATAGTTGCCCCGATGGTTGTTCCGATGGTTGCCCCGATGATTGTCCCGATGGTTGTCCGTTAGCCTCCATCTGGTGTTCTCTCCCTCTCTATCTGCCTCTGCCTCTAGCTCGCCCCTGCCCTCCTCTCTCTTTCTCTCCCTCTCTTGCTCTGCTTGGCAACCAGTCTCTCACACGATGCATCCCTCGTATCTTCGTTTATCCCGTGCCACTCGCTGCCCTCACGGATGTGTTCTCGAGGTGGCGCTCCTGCCGCTGTCGCGGGCAAGTTCAGGTTCGACGCCCGCGTCCGGCGTGCAGAAGGCCGCCCGCCCCCGCGAGGCGCGAGGAGTCGCCTGCGGCACCTCCGCCTCGCCCCAGCGCCGGCGCTCGCTGCAACCGCCGACGAGCGGGGCTCCGCATCCGGCTCCGCTCCTTCGAGGGCTTCCACCTCCGCGGTGTGCACGCGCTCCGGGACACGCGTGCGCGACCGCGGGCTCGGGGGCCCTCGGGCCAAGCCGCGCGGAGCGCGCGCGCGAGCTCGCGCGCGAGCATGGGTCGAAGGGCTCAAGGAATGGGGAGGAGGAAGAGGAGAAGGGGGAGGAGGACCGAGGAGGAAGGGGAGGAGAAGGGGGGGAGGAGGAGGACGAGGAGGACGAGGAGCATGGACTTCGCGTTAGCAGCGTGTCCTGGCCACTCTCGGTGCGACTCGCTCGGGGAGGGGGGGCCGCGTGCGCAGCGGGAGGCCGCGTGCGCCCGGCGGCCGGGGCTCTGAGGACGACGACGACGACGACGAGGACGACGACGACGAGGATGACGACGACGAAGTCGACGACAACGACGGCGACGAGGATGAGGACGATGACGAGGATGACGACGACGAGGACGACGACGACGAGGACGACGACGACGAGGACCAGTACAACGACGACGACGAGGACGAGGACGACGACGACGACGAGGACGACGACGGCGAGGACGACGACGAGGACGACGACGACGACGACGAGGACCCCTCGGACCCTCGATTCTCGATCCTTGACCTGCGACCCTCGACCCTCGAGGCCGTTTCTTGTTCCTCCCTGGTGTGGACCACCGCCCACGCACGACGACGACGAGGACGACGAGGTCGACGATGACGACGAGGACAAGGACGACGACGGCCAGGGCTACGACAGCAATGCGATGACGACGACGACGAGGGCGGGGACGGCAACGACAAGGACGACGACGACGAGGACGAGGACGACGTGGATGACAACGGCGACGAGGATGACGACGAGGACGAGGACGACGAGGACCACGACGACGACGAGGACAACGACGACGAGGACGGCGACGACGAGGACGACGAGGACGAGGACGAGGACGGCGACGAGGGCGAGTACGAACACGAGGACGACGTCAAGGACAACGAGGACGACGACAAGGACGGCGACGACGACGAGGACGAGGACGACGACGACGACGACGACCAGGACGACGAGGATACGACGACGGCGAGCATGACGACGACGACGGGGGCGACGAGGACGAGGCTGACGACGACGATGAGGACGAGGACCACGACGAGGACGACGACGACGACGAGGACGACGACGACGAGGACGACAAGGATGAGGCCGGCGACGACAAGGACCACGACGACGAGGACGACTACGACGAGGATGACAACGACGACGAGGATGACGAAGAGGATGAGGACGACGAGGAACAACGACGACGACGAGGACGACGACGACGATCACGACGACGAAGACGAGGACTTCGACTAGGACACGGGGACGACGAGGACGACGGCGACGACGATGAGGACAACGATCACGAGGAGGACGAGGACGACATTGACGACGACGACGACAGGACCACGACGAGGACCACGACGACGACGACCACGACGACGAGGACTACGACGAGGACGACGACGACGACGGCGAGGACGACGACGAGCATGACGACGACGACCACGACAAGGAGGAGGACGAGGACGACGACGTTTAGGACGGCGAGGACGACGACAAAGACGACGACGAGGACGACGACAACTAGGACGATGACGATGACGAGCACTGGGAGCACGACGGGGACGAGGATGACGACGACGACAAGGAGGAGTACGAGGACGACGAGGACGAGGGCGACGACGACGAGGACGACGAGGGCGAGGACGACGACGAGGACGACGACGAGGACGAAAAGGACGACGACGAGGATGACGACGGCGAGGACGACGACAAGGGCGACGACGACGACGAGGACGAGGACGAGGACGTCGACGACGAGGACCACGACGAGGACGAGGACGACGACGACGATGACGAGGAGGACTACGAGGACGATGAGGACGAAGAGGTCGATGAGGACCACGAGGACGACGACGAGGACGAGGACGACGAGGACGAGGACGACGACGAGGACGACGTCGACGATGACGACGACGACGCGGACGAGGAGGAGGATGACGACGATGACGACGACGCCGAGGATTTGAGGACGACGGGGACGAGGACAGAGACGACGACGACGACGTGGACGACGACGACGACCCGAACGATGACTACTGCGACGAGGACCACCACGACGTTGAGGACGACGAGGACGACGACGAGCAAGACGACGACGAGGACGAGGACGACGACGAGAACGACGTTCACGTCGACGCCCGGGATGAGGACGACGAGGACGAGGACGACGACGACGAGGACGAGGACGACGACAAGGATGACGAGGACGACGGGGCCAACGACGACGACGACGACGACCAGGACGACCAGGACGACGAGGACGACGGAGACGAGGACGGCGACGACAAGGACGACGGCGACGACGACGACGAGGACGACGACGACGTAGACGACGACGACCAGGACGACGACGACGAGGACGACGACGACGACGAGGACGAGTACGACCAGGACAAGGAGGAGGACGACGACGACGACGAGGACGAGGATGACGTCGGTGCGGACGACGAGGACGACGATGGCGAGGACGACGACGACGACGCGGACGACGACGAATACGACGAGGACGTGGATGACGACGACGATGACGACGACGCCGACAAGGACGGTGACGAGGACGAGGTCGACGACGACGAGGAGGACGAGGACGAGGAGGACGACGAGGAGGACGACGAGGATGAAGACGACGACGAGCAGGACGACGACGAGGACGACGACGACGACGAGGACGAGGATGACGAGAACGACGACGAAGAAGATGAGTCGGACGGCGAGGACGTGGACGACGACGACGACAAGGACGACGAGGCCGAGGACGGCGACATCAAGGAAGAGGCCGACGAGGACGACGCGACGACGAGGACGACGATGACGAGGACGGCGACGGCGGGGACGACGACGACGAGGACGACGACGACGACGACTAGGACCAGGACGAGACGACGACGGCGAGGACCAGAACGACGGCGAGAACGACGGCGACGACGACGAGGACGAAGTGGACGACGTGGATGTTGAGGACGAGGACGGCGACGACGAGGTTGAGGACGACGACGACGCCGACGAGGACAATGCGGAAGAGGATTGCGACGAGGTTGACGACAAGGACAAGGACGACGACGACGAGGACGACGAGGACGAGGGCGACGAAGACGAGGACGACGGCCAGGCTGACGACGAGGACGACGACGACGACCACGACGACGACGAGGACGACGAGGACGAGGACGATGAGGATATCGATGACGACGAGGACAGCGACGACGAGGCCGACGAGGACGAGGACGACGAGGACGACGACGAAGACGACGAGGATGACGACGACGACGATGAGGACGAGGACGAGGACGACGACGCCCACGACGACGACGAGGACGAGGACGACGACGACGAGGAGAACTTCGAGGACGACGAGGGCGATGAGGTCGACGAGGACGACGAGGACGACGACGACGACCAAGACGACGACGAGGACGACGACGACGACGATGAGGACGACGACGAGGACGAGGACGACGAGGACGAGGAGCACGAGGACGACGACGACGAGGACGACGAGGACGAGGACGACACCGACGAGGGCGACGAGGAGAGGACGACGAGGACGACGACGACGAGGACGAGGACGACGACGAGGACGAGGGCGACGAGCACTAGGACGACGAGGGCGACGACGACGACGACTAGGCCGACGAGGACGAGGACGACGCGGACGAGGACGACGAGGACGACGACGACGTGGACGAGGACGACGACGACCACGTCGACGACGACGTTGACGAGGACGACGAGGACCAGAAGGAGGAGGAGGACGAGGCGGCGGGCGAGGACGACGAGGACTGCGACGATGCGGACGACGACGACGACGAGGGCGAGGACGACAACGACGCGGACTACAAGGACGACGACGACGACGACGACGAGGACGAGGGAGGCGTCGGTGACGACGAAGAGGACAAGGACGATGACGACACGGGCGCTGACCGCTACGACCACGATTGCGACCAGGACGACGACGACGATGACGAGGACGACGACGACGATGACGGTGACGACTACGATGACGAGAACGACGAGGTCGGCACCGACGACGAGAACGACGCGGATGACGACGACGATGACGGCGGCGACGACGACGGGGACGACGAGGACGAGGGCGACGACGACGAGGATGAGGAGGATGGCGAGGACGATGACGACGTGGACGAGGACGGCGACGACGAGGACGAGGAGGACCACGAGGATGAGGACGACGACTTTACGACGACGGCGACGGCGAAGTGGACGGCGAAGAAGACGACGAAGAGGATGAGGACGACGAGGACGACGACGCCGACGACAAGGACGAGGCCGAGGACGGCGATGACAAGGACGATGAGGACGACGACTGCGACGACGACGCGCTCGACGACGACGAGGACGACGACGAGAACGACGACGATGACGGCGACGACGACGAGGACGACGACGATCAGGACGACGACGGCGAGGAGTCCCACGACGACGTCGAGGACGACGACGGCGAGGACGTTGACGACAAGGACGAGGACGACGACGACGAGGAGGATGACGACGACGAGGACAACGAGGACGAGGAGGACGATGGGGACGAGGACGAGGAGGTCTACGAGGACGAGGGTGCCGAGGACGAGGACGATGACGACAAAGGGCGACGACGAGACCGACGTGAGCGACGACGGCGACAACGACGACGATGACGACGACGACGACGTGGAGGGTGACGTCGACAATCACGACGACGGCGAGGACGACCACGAGGACGACGACGACGAGGACGACGCCGAGGAGGCGACGACGATGACGAGGACAACGACGGCGCGGAGGACAACAACGACGATG